TAGTGCCCATTACACAGACTGCATTGCCTTCAGACACAACCCTGGAGAGATCAGAGGGCTTCGGAACTCAGGAAGATGTGTGTTTATTGCAAGTACAGGGTAAGCTCATCCTGCCCAAAAGTCAGAGTAATGACACCTGGCTCCTGTTTGAGCAAAGATACAAATAAAATCTGTGTAAATTCATATAATTCAGGGCAGACTGCTCATGGGCCATATGCCAGTGTTTGCAGGTTCCGAATTGTGAGGCAGGATTGACATTTTTGCAACAAGTTTAAACTTCCTCTATGAGAAAAAACTCAAGACGCTGAAAAGGTTGCACTTGAACTTTTCGTCTGTATGTCAACAATCTCTTCTCCAGTGGGAGGGAAGTGTTCTGGTAGATGGAGGTGATACTGCAGAATCCTACCGTTAAACATGAGGGAACTTACCATTCGAATAGATATGCAGGGCTGGGGCTGGGGCTCAGTGGTCGAGCATTGCCTAGCACATAAAATAAATAAGTAAATAAAATGACGTTATTGAAAGTAGATTTGTAATCAGTAAGTCAGGAGGAGATAAAAACACTGACCCTTTGTGCCCCTACATGGAGTAACTTGACAGGTTGTATTTATTGTCCTTCAGTGGGTTGTACTGATTGGTATCGAATCCTGTTAGGCTCTTTTAACTTATTCCTGTGCACTTTTTCATCTATCGGCAAAGAACCTAGTGTTCTCTGGGGCACGCTGATTCCCTCCTGTAGAAACGACGGAAGCAGTGATAAATCTGATCCCTTCTACTGGGCGAGTTCTCAAGTGCTAGATATTAATCTGAGTCTGTCCGTGAGTTATCTTATTTGATCTTGTCTTGATGAATATGGGCTTGGTAGTGCACTTATCCAAATTTACACAGGAAAAAAAAAAACAGTGGTGGTAAATTTTTTCTGAAGGACACTGATTTGGGTCAAGGCTTTGAGTCAACACAGTTTGACTTCTTCAACCCCGAGCTGTACAACTTTATAACAAAGTCAAGGAGATCTGGGACTCTGAGCAGTGGAACTTGAGTGTCTCCGTCTGCGTTCTGTTGCTGCAATTGAATACCACAGACTAGGAATCTTTTAAAGAATAAAGGTTCATTTAACTCTTGCTTCTGGAGGCTGTATGTCCAACAGCACGGCGCACTCATCTGATGAGAGCCTTCTAGCCGCAGCATAACATGGCAGAGGGCGGCAGGTGCTGAGTGTGCCAGAGAGAGCTTCCTTTGGTAATCCATTAATCCATTAAATCTTGAATCAATTAATTCTTTCATGAGGATTGAAGCTTCAGGACTCAATCACCTCCTGAAGATCATCTCTCAAAATACCTTTGACATGAATTTAGGGCTTAAGTTTCTAGCACATCATTTAGGGGGAAGGACCGTGGTAGCCATTGGGCAGGAAGGAGAGACAGGGAATGCTCAGAAAGAAGCGAGGGTATTTATGTGGATTAGAGGTGATGATGCACCATGATCTAAAGAGTCTGGGATATGATTGGCTCAACCTCTAAAACAGAGATTCTACGGTGGCAAGGCGTGAGCACATTTTAAAGTATTGGTCAATGCATTTCCACCAAAAGTTGATGAAGATGAAACTGAACAGCCATAAATAATAATCATCTCTTCCAATAAATTAATGTGCTTGGGTAGTATTTTAGTTAGTTTTGTCTCACTGTGAGCAAACATCCTGACAAGGACATCTTCAAGAAGGAAGAGTTTATTTTAGCTCACGGTTTCAGAGCTTCAGTCCCTGGTGGCCAACTCCATGGCTCTGGCCCAAGGGGAGCAGAACAAAATGGCGGCAGGGCCTGGAGGAGGAGAGCAGCTCAGGACAGGGCCCCAGGGGGCAGAGAGAGCTCTGCTCACCAGGGACAGGAGAGAGACCCCAAAGGCACAGCCCAGGGACCCCCCTCCTCCAGCCACACCCCACCTGCTGCAGTCACCACCCAGTGAGTCCATCCAAGTGGATTAATCCACTGATTAGGTTACAACTTTCTTAATCGGATCATTTCAGTTCTGAAAATTCTTGCCCTGTCTCACACACAAATTTTTAGGGGATGCCACATATCCAAACCATAACAGGCAGAATGATTTTAATGTCCGACGTTGTTGTTGTGTGGAATTTGGGCAGAAGCTGGTGACTTCCCGTTAAAAATATACTGATTCACCTCTGGTAGCTCAGCACTTCTCACAGTGAGATAATAAACTGAGAGTTAAGAGAAGTGAGTGTGTACCAGCCAGGGATAAATTCTTGTCAGAAATTCTAAGCATGGTCACTAAATTCTTTATCCAGTTTAATGGTCCTTGCCTATTAAGTCACTGTCACCAGAGACAGTGCACTTGTTGGGTTTACCAAGGCTCTGTTTCGGCCACTGCATTGGGGGGAAGCCAGTTGAAGTAAAAGCAGTCTTTTCAGAGTCTAAACTTGGTGAGAAGCACATTCTTACAGCAGACTCAATGGCTTCTGACTTTGTCGGTTCAGTAGAGTCTTGGACTCTACGAGTCTTGGTTCCCGGGTAAGCAGGGCACCCCCCCACCACCTCGGACCTTGTGACCTAAAGATATTTGAGAAAATGGGTGGAAGCCACGTGCCTGTGTTTTCCTTTTCAAGCAAAAGCTCAGGCTTAATGGATGCACTTGAACCCTCCCAGGTCCCCGAATCTCATCATAAGTGATGTCTTGAATCCCATCTCTGTTTGAACTCTTGGGTCTCCAGGTGTTATGGTTCAGATGAGCGACATTGGCTCACGTGTGAGAAAATGCAGGAATGTTTAGAGCTGAAATGATTGAGTTACGACAGCCTTAACCCAATCAGTGCGTAATCCACTGATAGAGACTAACATGTTGGCAAGTATAGGAAGGTGGGGTGTGGCTGGAGGAGGGGGTACTGGGCTGTGCCTTTGGGGTCTCTCTCCTGTCCCTGGTGAGCAGAGCTCTCTCTGCTCCCTGGTGCCCTGTCCTGAGCTGCTCTCCTCCTCCAGGCCCTGCCGCCATTTTGTTCTGCTCCCCTTGGGCCAGAGCCATGGAGTCGGCCACCAGGGACTGAACCTCGGACACCAGGAGCCCCAGATCAACTTCTCCTCCTCTAAATGCTCATGTGGGAGACCATGCAGGAACATTCAGAGGTGAAATGACTGGGTTTCGAGAGGTGTAGACTAATAGTGGATTAATCCACTTGGATGGACTCACTGGGTGGTGACTGCAGCAGGTGGGGTGTGGCTGGAGGAGGGGGTCCCTGGGCTGTGCCTTTGGGGTCTCTGTCCTGTCCCTGGTGAGCAGAGCTCTCTCTGCCCCCTGGTGCCCTGTCCTGAGCTGCTCTCCTCCTCCAGGCCCTGCCGCCATTTTGTTCTGCTCCCCTTGGGCCAGAGCCATGGAGTCAGCCGACCATGGACTGAACCCCTAAAACCACGAGTCAAAATAAAGTTTTCTTCCTCTAAGATTTTCTTGTCAGATCTTTTGGTCACAGCAACACAAAAATCTGACCCAAACATCAGGATTGGTTACTTTACCACAGTGACTCATTTACTAAGTTGTTTATTTTGCTTTATGTTTTTATCTGAAATAAAAGGAAAAAAAAATGTGGTTGGAAGGCCCTAGCTTTAATCAACCCAGACATTTTCACTGATTAAAGATACTTGTAATACCAGAAAGACAAACTATCTTTTTGGTTCTGCAGTTCTTCTGTTAGTTCAAGGTAACATCCTCTTCAATATCCCCTTTGGGACTCCTGAGAAAATTGTAGGCATTATGCTTGACACTCAAAAATTATAAAGTAAAACAAAAAAACAAAATGGAACTTCTTTTTCTCATACAGTAGAGCCCATATAATATCGTCCATATGAAAACAGATAAAATGCAAAATGATAATTACTTAGTGCAGGCATCTTTAAGGTAAAGAGAAGGCAGGTGTGTGCGCACATAATCTTAGAGAGCTTATTATAAGAGATGATTTTAAATATAAAAGACGTAAATATGTCTATGTTTGGAAATATAAGCCTATATATAAAAGATCTAAATATAAATCTACATTTAAATTGCATTTAAATATAAAAGATTTAAATATAAGTCTATATAAGTCTATGTTTAAATCTTATTTAAATATAAAAGACTTGTTTAAATAAGGCTATCTTTAAGTCTTTTATACTTAAATAAAGTTAAAGTATAAATGAAGATTTTAAGTATAAAAATTCAGGCAAGGAAATGGGTGTTAGCATGCTAGGGAGTGTATCCCTCACAACCCACGGGAATCTGTTGAAGGCTGGAGACTTGGGCTAAAGTTGTACAAAACTAGCGACCTTTTGGCTCACTCCCTTTTCTGCTTATGATTTTAGATCTCTTGACGTTTGTTCATGGTTTTGAATCATGGCCACAGGCCCTTATGCTTTAATATGGTTTTGGACTATAAAAGGTGTACTCAGACCACGCAAGGGCGAGGAAGGGTGTAGACTTGTAGCCTGTCCCTCGGCCCACCAGCTGGTGGACTGCACCGCTGGCTGGTGAATAAAGAAGGTGCCCTCTCCTGCTTTAAGATGGACTCGGTGATTTATTGCAGTCTTGCCTTAACCTCTGCAAGTACCAGTAGCACTGAGCCCTATAACACTGGTTTTCCCTCTGCACCTGCATCCCTACGCTTGAGTTATTTTATTAATTAGAGGTTAACAGCGATAATACTGAAATAGAGCAGTTTTAGCAACGTGCAGTAATGCGGTTATCGGCTTCTTTACTTTATGTTTGGGACCATTTCCAGTAGAATGAGGGTAAAGTGAGCATAGCACTGAGATACCTGGACAGTCAAGCTCATAACCTAGGACACCTGCTAAGGGACCAATGGGCAGGTAGTGCATGCATCATGGCTATCCTGGACAAAGGACAGGTCACCTCCTGGCAGGACAGAGCGGGACGAGATGGGATTCATTGTGCTGCTCCGATTTGTGTGCAATGTGAAAATTGTGAGGTGTTGATTTCCGAAATTGTCTTTGGGATATTCGCAGGTGGAAGATGACCGTGGATGACCGTAAAACCGGGAAAGCAGAACTGCACAGAGGGTAGGTCTGCCCTGGCCGTGTTTGCCTGCTGGAGTGGTTATCCTGTTAGCAATGTGGAGAATGGATTAGTGAAAGAGGGGGGAGGCCGGTGTCTGCTTGGGGGAGCAGAGAAGACACTGAGAGTCCTGTGTGCCTGGGAGTGAGGGGGGGGGATGATACACTGAATGAAGAAATTGGAAAGAAAAAGTCTATGTGTACATTTGGAGGGTCAAATTAACAGTACTTAGTAACCAATTGTATTTGGAGTTTACTGACTTGCAAATCCATTAAGAACCAGTTATCAGAAGATTGAATCTCTCCTCCTTTCTTAGCGTGGGCCAAAGAAATGATCACGAGAGGGACAGCATCTTTGGTGAAGGGGGTGGACATGATGGGATGAGTTAGGTCTGGGGTAGAATGAATTTGAGAGGTCAGGAGCTGGCGTGGCTGACTGCTGACTGAGCTGCCAGCCTGAGATGCGTGCTCCTAGGGTCGCGGGGCGTAAGGGCCAAGAAGGGAAGACATCTGGGGGTTCACAATGCCTGCACAAGCCTGTGTTGTCTGTATGCTGGTCCAGAAAGAGGGGGCTCAAGTTTGCACCAAGACCAATAATGTGGGCACGCTGGCGTCAGAAGTGGGAAGGTCTAGCAGCTGCCTCCACTCTTCTCGCTTATTGGTAATGCTTCTGCTTGGAATTAGGAGCCCATTTAAGCCAGGGGTCTCATGGGGCTAAATGTGCTGTGTTGCTCACATGGTTCATTTTCCTTTTCGCAAATCATGATGATTAAAATATTGTAGAACGAGTCCTGAAATAATCTCACGGACTCATAATGTAGTGTATCGGTCTCATAAGGAAATACAAGAGTCAAAGCAAAACAAATATCCAGGTAGGCTGGACCCTGACTAGTGGTAAACTCAGAATGCAGACAAAGGTCTGTATGTAGGTGCAAGACGTCGCTCTGCCTGTTTGAAAGGCCACTGTCTGCATCCCGAGACTCCTGGCCCCAGCTCCGAGTCTCCAGGGTCCCATCTCTTCCTTGTCTTCCCTTCCTGGTTTAAGGACAAGTCACCACCATCTGTCACTAGAGGGTCAATTCTACTGCATTTACATATAGACATCCTTCCCCTGGTGATCCAAACTGGCCCCAGTGAGGACTGACTCTGAATAGGCAAATATCCAGGTGACTACAGATCCTATCTTCCAGGACAGCCCCAACATCTGAAATCTCCCTCCCACTGACCATTGTCCACATTTTGTAATTAACACAGACTCTTGTGTTTTCCAGAAATGGAGTTTATTTGACTTTTAAGACTTAGACCCATCAGCGACTTCAGAAATCATTGCTGGAAAGTCCTACTTACTTTTAAGTAATGGTGATGGGAAGTCCTGCTCACAGCACTTGTAAATCATAAAGTAATTGTAGACACATCCAGCAACGTGCCCTGGCTATGCCATTCATTATCGCAGGGACATTAATCATAGCAATTAATCATGATTAGTTATTATTAGCACACTATTAATTAATAGCAAGTAGTCGTTTGTAGTGGAGCTAGATGACTAGGTTTTTTTTTTTTTTAAACATGTCACCTTTCTTTTAATAAGATTTTTAAACATTCAGCGTCAAGGAACATACAAAGTTTTTCAAAGCATAAAATTGATTGTCTTCTAAGTGATGTTGAAGACATTTCCTAAAGAGGACTATTTAAAAAGTAGAATGTCAAGCCAGATGTGGTGGCACACACACCTGGATTCCCAGACACTTGGGAGGCCAAGGCAGGAGGACTGCAGATTCAAGGCCAGCCTCAGTAATTTAGTGAGGCTTTGTCTCAAAATAAAAAGTAAGATGGGCTAAGGCTATAGCTCTGTGGTAGAGCACCCCTGGGTTCCATCCTTGGTAACTAATGGTGATAATAAGAATCCCCAGTACCTAATAATAATAATAATAATAATAATAATAAGTAAAAGAGGCCGTTACTATGTACCACGAGTGTCCATAGCTACAGTGAAATGACTTGCTGGGGTCACCAGCCCCACTTAACAGCTGGACACCTCTGCGTGTTCCGTGGAATTCACAGTACAAAACACGTTTTCATCACGTTATCAGGTCTGCCAGTTTGACCCACAGATCTGTCTCAAGTCATGACCATGAGGGTTTTGGACATGTCAATAATCAGATCAAATCTTTCTACAATACATGTATGCATCAGAATATCACAATGTATACCATAAAGACATACAATTGTTGTCATCCAAAGATTCATTCATTATGTTACAAAGGTAAATGCAAAATTAAATTTCAAAAACTCATAAGCCAGGTGCCGGGGTGGCTTGTATCCTCTCAGCTACTGGGGAGGCTGAGGCAGGAAGCTTGCTCCAGTCAGTAGTCGGAGGCCAGCCTGACCTATATAGCAAGACCCTGTCTCTTAAAGAAAAAGAAGTAAATTGCAGACATGGTTACACAGTGAAATAAAATAGTCTTTAAAACTATGTGAAGCCAAGAGTAAAAGAATAACCTCTACCAATATTTTTTAAATTAATTATTTGTTCCTGAATTGTTTATCACTTATTAAATTAATGGGGAAACTATTTATATTGAAAAACATGAGGAAGGATGTACTCTAGTAAAATTAAGATATTACTTGCATTTTGGTAAATGGATGGAGTTGGAGAATATCATGCTAAGTGAAGTAAGCCAATCCCCCCCAAAAACAAAGTCTGAATGTTCTCCCTGATAAGTGGATGCTGATTCATAATGGGGGGGACCTGGGAAAAATGAAAGAATTTTGATGGGGCACAGGAGAGGGAGGGGTAGGGAGGGGACATAGGGGTAGGAAAGATGGTGGAATGAGATGGACATCATCACCCTAGGTACATGTGTGACTGCACGTATGGTGTGGCACTACATCATATACTACCGTAAAAATACAAAGTTGTGCTACAATTGTGTACAATGCATCAAAATGCCTTCTGCTGTCATATATACCTAATTAAAACAAGTTTAAAAATGAAAGTAGAATTAAATAATTCTCAAAAATAAATTTCAATTAAAGATTACTATTTTTTAAAAAAAGGAAAGAAAGACCTGATAATTAGAATATCTAAATGCATTAAAGAAATTTATCACTTCCTGTTTCCATTAAAATGCGCCCATTAGTTTTATGAATGGTTTCCTATTCTAGTCAGTATTCTGAGCAGGTTTTTATTTTTCAAGCATGCAAAATTGAATATGCTGGAATTTGATTCATATTATCTCTTGATTTCACCCTAGTGATTTCTCTTATTAGACTAAATAAATATGCATATTGTTTATACTAAGTGGCAAACAGTAATTTCAGTTTGGAATGACAAAGCGATGTTTGCTCCCTATCATCTGTATTTAAATAAATGCACTAATAAAGCATGCTTACATTAAAAAAAGACTTTACTTGCATTTTTGAAATAAAAGTAAAAAATACACTATCAGGTGATGTATGTTTGTGTATACACACAAACACACACACACACATATACATATATATTTCTGACACATTGCAATACTAACAGCACCAATTAGTAGAAAAGATGAAGAAAAAATATAAGGATTTTGCAAATATTTTCTAGGAAGCTATTGAAAAATAAAAATACATTAATAAATTGAGCTTAAAGTAATGAAAAGGCAGTTTGGGGGGTTTTGTTTTGTGTTTTTATTTATTTGCTTTTTTCTGGTGAGCTTTGTGTGGTGATAGGTGAAGTGACGGCTACACAGAAATGTGAGACAGGAAAGGGAGGAAAGCAACAGATACGTTTGAGATATTTCCCTGTTTGTCTGTGACCATGGTTGCTTGTCCCATGACTTTGGAGCTGTGGAGAGGCAGAACATCATGGTGGGATGTGGGTGGTGGAGCAAAGCTGTGACTTCATAGTGGCCAGGAAACAGAGAGAAAGGGGCCAAGGTTCTAATATTATCTTCAAGGACATGCCCCCATTGACCTTGTCTCCTTCCACCAGGCCCCGCCCCCAATGACCTAGCCTCCTTCCACCAGGCCCCGCCCCCAATGACCTAGCCTCCTTCCACCAAGCCCCAAACATTTCAAGTGGTACCACAGCCTGGCAACCAAGTCTTCAACAAGTCAGCTTTCAGGGGACAATTACTTAAATCACAATACAAGCCCAGACAGAAAAGAAAACACAATGAATTAAAAATAAGAAAACTTTATGAGTACTTCGCTCCACCTCCTGTCTCCTCTGTGCTCCATCAGCCTCATGTCCTCCACTACACATAACTAATTTCACTAGTTTCTTGCAAACAGAAACAGGCGCTACCCTCTTTCCGTATCCCTATATAAAGACCAGACATTTGTGCAGATGCACATTATTAATAGTGTGGCTTCCTGTAGTTGGTTCAGCCAACCCTGCTAAAAGACACTGGAGTTGTTCCCAATTATTGGTAAACTTACTTAGACTTGGTCACATTGTTGTCACTGGAGGAGGGTCCAAGGCATTCCCCAAGAGGGGAACTAGGCACAAGCAGAGACTTATTTGGGAAAGTAAGGATCACACACTTGAAAGAAAATGGACCTTGCAGGCTGTCTGCAGAGCGCAGAGCACCCTTTGCTGTGGAGTGTTCAGATCTATACTGGGCAGGAGCCCGAGGTTGGGCTGGAGGTGGAGTCAGGGTGGAGTTATGGAAACGCCCTTGCACCAGCCCCTGCCTCAAGCTCCTTTCTGACAAGCAGAAGGGGATTTCGGAAGTCAAAGCTTTTCCTGTGTATCTAGAACAGAAGAGATCCATCTGCGTAGCCTATGGTAGCTTTATGCCCTGGACATATGGAAAAGCCTTGATTTAATGTAGGACTATCATCGCTGAACCCGCAGCAGTATTTAGGCATCTGTCCGTTCTCCCCCAACCGCAGAAATGATTGGAAAAATGAAAACACAAACAAAGCCCAGCTAATCCATCAAGTTTGACAATGAGTTTGTTATTAATAAATGCCTTTGATGGTGTCTAATCCGGGCCAGCTGTTTAGAAACGATCGGGGTA